AGGCAGTTCATTGGCTATGGTAGGATCAAAAGCTGAGGTGGAGGGGTAGGGAGGAGGAGGGGGGAGCGGAGGCCCCTGGCAGGTTGGGATCCCGTGAAACTGTCTTAGTCAGAAGACCCTGATGGGAAGAACATGGAACCCAGAGGGAGGGGTTAGCACAGAGATCAAAGGAAGCTTGGGTGTATGGTTATCTGGACCATTTGCCTTTACAATGGCAGAAATTTTCCAAATCTCTCAAAATATTGAAGTTTAAGGTTCCAGTGTCTGGCCAAACAGTTATTATCTAACTTGTACTGAGGCCAGGCTGTGGTACACAGGAACTTCAGGCATTTTGGCCTGATTGTATCCGAAAGTCCTAGTTGTTTTAAGGATTTAAGAAGACAAGAGGTGTGAGACCACGAGACTTTGAGTGGGTGGTTCCCATAGTGACAGATTAAGTACAGAGTGAAGAGGAGATAGAGAAAGACCTGAGCAAGCAGATAGGACATAGAGACAGAAGCGAGCAGGCAGGAGACAAAGAAAATCCTCTGTCCATAGAGAGTGGAGGCAGGATCATGAGTCCGGGCAGGAAAGTGCAGTGGATGAGGAAGAGAGAGAGATGGGGAGGGAGTAGAAGGAAAAGGGGTTTGGCATCGGTCGTGTAAAACAAGATTGAGGAGAATCAGGCATCAAAAGAAAGCATCCTTTTTTGTTGCATGGGATCGTGTTATTATTTTCGAATTATTTCCAAGTCCCAGAAGGCAGCGTCCTACAATTGCATCATCAGTGAGAGGAAAGGCAAGATCCTGTCCTGGACAGGAAGTAGTATGTGTTCCTATCTCCAGAAATAGCGTCCTATATCCAGAGAAAGGGAGGGGTTTTCCGACACATGTGATTTTGAGGCAAGCGAGAGGAGCGGAAAACCCTGCAGTGAGAGCGTGGCATGACCAGCCAGTAAATGGAGACAAAGTACAAGGAATGGGATGGGAGAAAAGCAGAAAAAAACACAGTGAGCCAGAAGGGAGGGAAGCTTGTGGAACAAATTGATCCTGAGGTTTAGGGAAGATGAGCCCTAGAAGGGTGGTGGTTTAGTAGAGGCATAGTAGAGCCCCAGAAGGGTGGTGGAGAGAGAGAGAGACAGAGACAGAAAGACAGAGAGACAGAGAGAGATAGGGAGAGAGGTACTTAAAATTAATTTATATATTTTAGTACCAGGAACCATGTTGTAGATTAAACAGAATATTTTGGCCTGAAAAAAATATTTTGGTGTTAATTTCACATTATTAGTTCATATGAGATTTTAGTTAAAAATTAATGATACTAAGTAAATTAAGTTTAAGAAGCATAAATTTATTTTGACTGTGTATACATATTTAATTATATAGTCTCCGTTGAGAATGTGGCTGGTTTATCATTTTTAAACTAAAACATCTTTGAAGTAGACAAACAAAATGAATACATCTTAAAACACCATGAAAGTAAACTAAAAAAAAAAAAAATGGCATTTAACAAACAGAATTTTACCCAACCAGCTTAGATGTTGTTTTGTATAAGTAATTAGTGGTCTAAAGAAAGAGTTAAGTTTCCATATAGATTTGAGGTAGCATCTTTTTCCTTTTTAAGAGGTAAATAACTGAGGGAAGTTAATAAAACCTTGTAAGAGACAAGAAAGACAAAAGGAAACATTAACAGATTAGGTTAAGAATAAATAAAATCTTAATAGTACTGAAAATAATTCCACTAGCTAGTTTCATTATAGACAGTAATAGCCTCTGTTGAAATTAATTTACACCTTAGCAGTTCTCAACTGCATAGTGCCTTTGTTCTTAGCTGTTTTGTTGTTCTCCTTCTCCTTGTCATAGGTTCAGGGGGCCAGCCTGTACCTGGAAAAGTCTTGGAGAACACATCTTGAGATAATAGGCTTGAGTCTGAAGTGGGGGGGGGGGCAATCCCATCTCCCAGAGTCAGTGTCTCAGTGAGCTCAAACAGCATGTGACAATTTACCAATATAATTAATATTACCCTGACATTATAACTAGAAAGCACTCAGGGAATGATGGGGCAGGAACATAAGCAAGCATAGAGCATCTGAGTATCGGAGAGGGAAATAACTCTATTTCAGAGAAAAACAGGCTTAGAATCATAATGTAGAAAGGGGAGGAGTTAAGACCAGTAGAGGTGGCACATGGCGGAGAGTAGAAAGCTTTAGTATGGGAGGGGGAGAGAGAGGAGAAGGATCCAGAGCATTTGCATGTGTTGGATTGAACAGTATCAGAAATCATCCCGAGTAAAGTGAGGAAGAAAGGCAGTGGAAGAGGATAAAGACAGGGAAAAATGGTGAAAGACAGTAGACCTTCCAGGCCCATGGCAAAGGAGATGGGGAGGGGGCGAGATGCTAGGAGTGAGGGGAAGGCGGGGGAACCAAGTTAGCGAAGGGATGAAGCGGCTCCATCCCAGAGACCAGTGCTGTCCAGAAGTGACGAAAATCAATGAGAAAGGAGGTCAAAAGAAGATGTAGGCAAGGCAGAGTGTGTTCCCCAGTGAGGAGAGCCAGAAAGAGGTGGAAGCAAAGCAGAGCTAGGGAGAGAAGGAGAGAGAAAGGAAGGGTGGGCGTGTACCTGAAAGCCAAGTTAGTGGCGTTGGAGAAGTCTAGGCAGGTCCCTTGAAGTAAGAACTGGGTTTTGGCACCATCTGATAGGTAAAGTAGCCTATGGATGAATCCAGTTGATCAGGAGAAAGTACCAGGACACAGATAAAACTCCATTGGAATAGAGTTTATTAGCAAAGGAACACATGGGACAGATTCCCTTTCAGACAGGGAAAATGTCTGACCCGGGTCATGAGCTGGGGCCTTTTACTTCCCTTGAAGTAAGAACTGGGTTTTGGCACCATCTGATAGGTAAAGTAGCCTATGGATGAATCCAGTTGATCAGGAGAAAGTACCAGGACACAGATAAAACTCCATTGGAATAGAGTTTATTAGCAAAGCAACACATGGGACAGATTCCCTTTCAGACAGGGAAAATGTCTGACCCGGGTCATGAGCTGGGGCCTTTTTAAGGGGGAGGCTTCTGGCGGGGTGCAGAAGGCAGGAAGATATATATTTTTTTAATCTGCTCTATTTGGAGATCAAAGGGGAGGCCTGCTGTGTTGGCCAAACAGTGGAGAAAAGTCTGCTTCTCTTGACTTCAAAGACCAGGGTGCTTATCAACTCAGTTCCCTTTTCTCAGGAGCTTTCGAAGTGCGTGAGGCCCTGTTGGTGAGGGGGCTGGGCTATCTGAACCTTAACAGCAGTCATCCTGCTGCCCTGGACGTGGGTCACTGCAGTCATCCTGCTGCCCCAGTCATGGGTCACAGCAGTCATCTAGTCTTCACTTGACATAGGTCACTGCTGTCATCCAGTCTGCTCTGGACATGGGTCACTGCTGCAGTTGTCCAGGTCCTATTTTCCAGAACAAGCTGATCAGGTGTGTTTTTCCTCTCACAAGCATAAAGGAGCTTGCTTTTATTCTTTCTTTGATGTGTGTGTGTGTTTGCATGTGTGTGCATGCACATTCCTCTGTGTGAATGCAGACACTCAAGTGTGATCAGACAACAAGCTTGGTCATCAGTCCTCAGGTTCCACCTTGTTTTCAGACAGGGTCTGTTGGTTGCTTTTTCTGGTGCCTGAGCCAAGCTAGCTGGCCCTGAAGCCTCTTGGTGGTGTTCTAGCTCCACCTTTCATCTCCCTGGAGAGGTGCTGAGATTAAAGAAGCTCATGCCAGGCATCCAGTTTTTATGTGTGCTCTGGGAACAGACTCAGACTCTCAGAGTATCACAACAAGTTCTTTTACACACTGAGCATCTCCCCAGCCCAGCTGGAAAACCCAGCCATTCTGAGAACTAAGGCTGCCAGTTCTAGTACAGGGTTTTCTTCTAAAAGAAATAGAAAAGTAAAAAACATATAACATAAAATTAATCACTGCAATTATTTTAATGTTTGGTAGTGTCCTTCTACATAGCTATGCAGCCATCCACAACATCATAATGAAAGGTGGCTTTTATCCCATAACACTAAAGTTCTATATCCATCAAATAATTCTCTATTTCCTGCCTCCCAATCTCTGGCAACCATTTTTCCACTAAATGTCTTCATAAATTTGACCACTCTAGGTACTTCAGAATTATACATGTCCTCTTGTGACTAGTTCATTTTACTCAGCACAATATCCAGAATGCTCCTATGTAGTGTAGCATGTATCAGAATTGCCTTTTCTTCTTTAAGGCTGAATAGTATTTCGCTATAGGTATATATCTCATTATGTATACATCCATCCCTTTATCTATGGATATTTGCTTCTGCCATTTGGCTTTAATTGAATAATCTAGAAATGTGTCTGAATGGGAACCCTCTCCAGACCCTGTTCTCAATTCTTTTGGTATATATTAGGAAGACTGCTGAGTCACATAGCAATTCCGTTTGTAATTTGTTGCATACTCTCCATCGTGTTTTCTACAGTGTGCACACCATTTTACATTTCCACCAGTAGTAGACAATGTTTCAGCTTCTCCACCTCCCAGTGAATTCTTGTGCTGTTGTTGCTTTTATAGTTGGCATTTTGATGGGTCTGACTCAGTATCTGATTAGAGTTTGGAGTTTATTTTTATGACTTTATTTTAAATTATGTGTATGTGGGTAGGTCTGTATATGGGTATGTTCATATGAGTGTGGGTGCCTGCAGAGAGCAGAGGCATCTGATCCCTTGAGCGTGGAGTTACAGGTGGTTGTGAGCTACCCAACATAGGTGATGGCAACCAAACCCAGGTCCTCTGCAAGAGCAGTAAGTGCTCTTAACCACTGCACCATCTCTTCATCCCCCTGAGGTTTATTTTAAATAGTGAATTTATCCACACAATGGCATATAATGCAGGAAGCCACTGAACCAACTGAATCTTCTCAAGTTTCCATTAGAAAAACATACCCCCTTTCACACATTTTTATGTTGTGACTGATGTGGGAGCAAAAGAAAGAAGAGGCCCAGAACACGAACGTCAATATTTTTATTATACACTTGGTGCATTTAGAGACAATCCCGAGGCAAGCACTGGATAGGGACATTATCTGATCTGTAGGCATTTGTACAAAAGACAGTTAAGACCACATGGCTGGTCCCCACTGCAGGAAACAAGGGTTTTCTGTTATATTGTTCCCTGCCAACAGCACTTCCCCGATGCCACATTTCAGTTCTCATAACATGAGTAAAGACATGTATATAGGTTCCCACAAGAATTCTGCATGTGACATTTCAGGGTGGTTGGCATCAATCACATAAAGCACATTTTGACACACACCACAGAAGGGGAGCAGGGCCTCCGGACGGTGTGGAATAAAACACCACAGCTAAGGAAGCACTGGGGCATGCTGGAGTGGCTAGGCAGTCACCTGCCACTTCCCCCTCTCCATGGGAGCTTGCCCGGAGAAGTGGTCCCTCCCGTCTCTTCCCTGTGCTTTCTCCTAAAGTCGGAGCTCAGCTGAAGGCATTTATAATAAAAGAATGAAGTCAATGATTTCATGACAGACACACCCGTCACCCATCTTCCCTGCTGGGCCTGCAGAGCAGTATCACCTATGTGGGATGACATTAAGCTTTCTGGTTGAGTTATTTTTCATACCTACTGATTCGCCTGATAGTAAAGGAACTTCGCTGCTAAGATCTATCAAGCATACACCTGCTGTTAACTAGTCTCTGAAGCTTTGATCAGGTTCCTATTCTATAGCCACCCCCAAGAATGAAAAAGAACTATTTCTGCTTTGCTAATGTACTTTCACTCAAGTGCCTGCCCTTGGCTATGAGGGATGTTTTCACTTATTAGAAATTTCATCTACATGACAAGACTAACTACTTATGCTGTGTTCTGTGGGGCAGGTTGGGGTAGATAGTCTGTCCTTAATGGCTACAACTTATTTCTGCACAAAGCATGCTCAGGTGACCAACCCCTGAGGCTTAATAGATGCACAGTGGTCTTCTGAAAAGTTTAAGCACAACAATTTTATTTTAACATGAATATTCATTTTCTCCATGTTGCAAGCCCTGATTAAGAAATTATCCATATAAAAGTATTTCTTCAAAGAAAAATCTTTGAGAACCTTGAAAAACAAATACTCCTCTGCTTTCTCACAATCCCTATCTTTTCTGTTGTTAATGTAGATAAAAGTCACTAAAAGTACCTGCAGGCACACCATGAGATCCTAGTTGTCTTCTTGTCTGTTCCTCTACTTCCCAATACACAAAGAATGTATTCTCTACTATCATCCTAGCTTTGACTCTACACAAGTCACCTCCAACGCCTAATGGGAAAACCAAGCAGGTTAACTTTTGCCAGATAGCTCACAGAGCCCTCTAGTGGTAAGATGGGGACACCAAGGTTGTGATACACAGTGCACTCAAGGAGGGGTGCACTTGGACCTTCTCCGCGATGCTGGACTAAGGTGCAATAACAGAAGTAGTCATTGTATTGCCTAGTGCATAATGACATCAAGTTGGCATGGCTATCTGCAACCTTGGCCAGAGCAATGAGAGAAGGTCGCTGTGTAATTTATCCTCGCTAGACTTCTGATCAAACCCTGAATCACCTTGGGTCTCTCACACTTGTCAGATCTGCTGATGAAATGTTGTCCTCACAGGTGGAGGTGAGGCCACACAGGGACATCGCAGAATGGCTTTCTACATCCTCTTACTTTAAATAATTCAGCAGGTAGGTATGGCAGTGGACAGGTAACCACATCTTCCTCGAACCTCACCCTTCTTCCCTTAGCAACTATGGACATTTTCAGATTAGTTGATCTCCCTGTGACCCTCCGTTCATGAGCAACAAATGTCAGGGTAAACCTATCCAAAACTCTTAGCAACTGCAAGCCACCACTAGACTCCATGAATTTGTCAGCTGAAATATTCTTCCCATTGCTCATGGTTTGCCATTTGTTATTTTACATATGGAATTTACAAAACTGCTGAGCAAAAGATCCACAGCATATACCTACCCTCTTAAAGGAGGGTTGGTAGAAAAAAAATACTTGTTCCAATAAAACCTCTGACCTGTATCACATTTGCATAATGAGGGGCCAGGTTTCTGTCAGTTGTCATGGCCCACATGCTGCTGCTGAGAAGGTGCTGGGGACCCTAAACCATTTAGGGATCACTGATAAGCATATTTCTGTTTTCAGACCCCTGTCAAGAATGAGAAGGTAAAATTAAACCCCAATGGTGCAACCACACTTGCTCTCCTCTGACATAAACGTCTGTCAGTCATCTCTGCCCTCTTGGCCACTTCGGGAACAGGGGAGAGTTCTGGTAGACAGAGACAAGCACTTTCTCAGCTTGCTCCTATTCCAGCCACCAGTCTAAAGGCAGCTGTCGGGCAGTGGGTAGTGAGAACTAATGGAGGACACCCAGATCAGTTGCTTCAGACACTAATTCTTGGGATCTAGCAGACTGGACAAGAAGGGCAAGGCTGGCTGTTCTTCTGCAGAGAAATGCACCATAGCCATCTGTCATCAGCGTGTCCTCTGTCTTCCTAGGCCAAAGCCCACCTGCTCTTCTTTGCACACATTTCTGTGCTCTGATGGGAAGTCAACTCTCTTATATAAACATGATGTTGAAAATAATTTTAATTGCAATCTGCTGAGACAGAGACTTCTAGCAGCTTTCACTACTAAGTAGTCAAGAGCTTCTTTTTTCTTCCCCTCATTAGCTGAGATTTGCAGCTGTGTGGAACTAAGTGTACTAAGGCCATCTTAAGAGTCCTAGACAAGGAACTGGCAACCAAATCCCAAATCATTTCTAGACAATGCCATGTCCATAGGGCGGGTGCAGGGCTGGGTGAGAAGAATTATGCAAGTCTGGAACCTCTAAGGCAGGTCCTCTAAGGCATGGCCAGTTCTTCTAACGTGGAAGCAGGTCTGTGTCCATTGCACATGGAGAACAGCTCCTTCAGGGTCAAAGACACTGTGACAGAGCTAGGCCTGTGCAAGGGGACCTTCTGTTCCTTCCCACTGGCTTTGCCAGGACATACCTATCAGGACTGTAAGCCACACACAGACCTGTGCTCCAACAGAGGGAAGCTGGGATTTCTCTCTGTCTACACACATAAGAGCTCTCTGTATGAACAAAAGCCTTCTGTTAACCTGGAGGAAATATAAAGACTGGGCCTTCCCAAGCTCTTGCCTTTCCCATCAAGCTGCCCTGAGGCTCTCAAAGCTCCACCAACTCTAGTCCCCTCATAAGAGGCTAATGTGCCCACTATTACTAAAATACAAGAGTAGCAGCTTAAATCCACAACTTATCACACAATGGAACAATAGGCAAGTGGGATACATGTTACATAGCAAAGGGTGGGGACCTAAGCTGAAGAGAAGTGGACATTTGGACGCAAGGTAACAGGTGGATCTGGCTTCAGGGGAGGAGGCAACATGGAACCTTCTCATTTTACTCAAACAACAGAATGTTTTTTCTGCTGGTAATTTAGTCAGGTGGGAAGTTTTAAATAAGGACAGGGGATGCTTACTTCACTTAAAGAACTTAATCTCTGTATCGACACAGTCATAGAAAAGGTCCCCCACCTCGGCAGGGTCTGCGGCATTGTGGCTGCTCAGGATCTCCTCCATGGCTTCCAGGCCTTGCCTCTCCAACTCCAGCATGGTCTCTCTCAGTGTGCGGCCTTGCTCCTGAGGAAGGAAGGACACAGCCATGCGTCAGAAAAGCAGTGTGAGTTCCACAGTGGACACTGACAGCCCAGGGTCCAGCTGGCTTCCTGCCCACAGCACCACCACCCCCTCTGCTCTCAAAGCATCACAATAGGGGCTGCTCTAGGATGAGGTTACATCACTGGCACACAACCCCAACTGGCATCTGGATAAATCCAGACTTCTGAGTGGCAGCCAGGGAAGCAATGGTGCCACACAGCATCCTCTTTGCCTAGCCTCTTAAATGCACATCCCTCCCTGTCATTCAGATGGAATTAACTACGTTACTACATCTTGTAATACTTTCTCCACACTACACAGATGACTCTGCCCTCTGGAGGCCCTCTCCATCCAATACTTAGTCAACCTCTGCCCATCTTCAGACCTCCATGGAAGGTCTTTCCCTGCAGGGTAACGCCTTCTCCCCTGCTGTGGTTGCCATCATCTATGTTGTGATGACTGGTCTACGTGGCTTTATCTCCCTTCAGACCAGACGGGAGATGTCTTGGGGAGGAAGAACTAAGCTTGTGTCCCTGCCAAAGACTGGAACATAGAGGGCATTCTCTTTTTAAAAAGTCTATCGACAGCCAGGCATGGTGGAGCACACCTTTAGTCCCATCACTTGGGAGGCAGAGGCAGGCGGATCTCTGTGAGTTCAAAAGAGAAGTAATTTTGAAAACATTTTTCCAGAAATAATTTGAAACAGGTTACATAAAAATATATATACAGGCCAGGTGTGGTGGCGCACACCTTTAATCCCAGCACTTGGGAGGCAGAGGCAGATGGATCTTTGTGAGTTCAAGGCCAGCCTGGTCTACATAGTGAGTTCAGGTCAGTTGAGACTACAGGGAGACCCTGTCTCAAAAAGACAAAAAAAAATGTCTATTGAAGGAATAAATGAATCATTCAATAAGCACATGCCATGTCTCTCCCCTAGTCACTCTTTCTCTGAGACCATAAGAGCTCTTTTCCCAAGTGGGACTTACCTAACAGTATGTAGCAGTTAGAGAGTTCAGAGGCCCAATTGTCCCAGAACTGAGAGATTGTGCTACTCACAGCTCCACCACTCCCTACTGCTGCCTGCTCCAACCTAGAGTCATTTCTAAATTTCAAGGCCCACCAACCTCCTCAGTCCATCTCTGCACATGCAGCCCTCTCTATGTATTCTCATCGCCCAAACAGCCACAAAGCCAAATCCTGCTAGGTGAGAGTTTTAGTCTGCTTAAGGCTTGCAGTCATCCACCTAGAAAATGAGAACAGTCTGCTATGAACCTGGGCATTCCAGAAGAAACCTCAGTGTAACACAGCATTGGTGGGTCCAGGGAAATGTTTGACAAAGACAGATGGAACAATTGTGACTGCCCTGGGTCTGATGGCCAGTTCTTTAGAAAGGAAGGGCAAGCTCTCCAAAACAGAGGTACTCTGTCAATTATCTGAATTCACTGGTCAATCCAGTTTTTTAAAAGGTGCGTGTGCATTGGGGGCTGGAGAGATGGCTCAGCAGCTAAGAACACTGACTGTTCTTGCAAAAGACCCGGGTTCGAATCCCAGCTAACAACTGTCTGTAACTCCAGTTCCAGGGGATCCAGCAGCCTCTTGACTTCCGTGGGCATTGCACAACACAAGTGCACTTACCTACATGCAGGCAAAACATGCATACACATAAAATAAAAATAATAAAATATTTTTTAAAAGGTGTGTGTGTGTGTGTGTGTGTATATATATGTAGTGGATGCGAACATGTATGTGTAGGTGCACATGCCTGTTACACCCACATATACAGAGGCCCAAGGAGGATGTCAGGCGTCCTGTTCTACCTTCTTCCCTTGAGACAGTCTCTCACTGCATCTAGAACTAGGGTGGTGACCAAGAAGCCCAAGGAATCCTGCTGTCCCTACTCCAGAGCCCTGTGGCTATAGACACGCACATAAGTCCTGGCGATCCAAATACAGATCCTGTTTGCACAGCACTCTTAACCTACTGAGCCATCTTTCCAATCCCAGTCAAGCCCTTTTTAGATATCCTTTTTAGATAATCTGTCATACTAAATATAAGAAAGTAAGCTTGCCTGGGTCACACAGGAATATGTACCAATTTCTCTCAGGAAGCCTCTTCAAGTCAGACCTACTGAAAGTTGTGACATAACTGCTTGGGGAAGAGGATACATATCTTACAAGCACATTTTTCTTCCTTACAAAACAAAATATAGGCTTATGTTTTATATGAAAATTCAGCACTAACAGCTGCTGTGGGCGTTAACTGAGTGCTAGGACATACACATTGGGAATTTTTCTTCACTGAATTGACATCTTCCAGCACTATTAACCAAAATTTTGGAGGTGTACAAGTTGTATTTGAGGAATAACTTTTTAATGAAAACTGGGGACCTGAGTCTTTTATCAGACTACATTTGTATCATGATAAAATAGAGCATAAACGTTACCGTTCAGGCCATTTTAAGTGTACAACACTGGTGCAACCATCGTTTCTATCTATCTCAACAACACTCTGGGGCTGCCACTGTTCAGAAATTCCATACAAGTACAGGCTTTTATGCCCCAAAGTATGCAAAGGGTTTGGGATAGCACAAGTGCAGCTATCCCTGTCACAGCTGCCTGTCCTTCTACTCTGAAGTAAACAGTGAATGAAAAAGGGATTCTTAGCCTGCTGGGTTCCAGCGCCTTTTTAAAATTTGGTTTTAGGAGACTTAGCGGGAAAATTAACAGTGGTATTCTAGGAAAACTTGGGTTTCTGTGATAGACAGGCCAGACAGAAGAGAGAGGTAGGCTTACAAGCTGCCTCCTGACTCCTTTGTTGTTGACCACACCCCTCTCCCTGAACCTCCCCAGGCTCACCTGGTCACTCTCGATGACAGCGCGTGCCCACTCGTGCGCCTTGTACAGTTCATGCCTGCGGTCCCGCTTCTCCTGGAACCGAGGCTCTTTTTTGGCTGGGTCCTCGTCACCAAAACAGGGAGACTGTACTTTGGGGACAAGCTTTACATCATCAACAAAGATGAAAGGCTTGAATATGGACCTGGAGAGAAAAGAGAGCTGCTTCAGTCAGACTGAGCTTGGTGCCTGGGGATACCTAGCAATGACCCAACTAAGATGGGCAGTAGGCCAGTGCAGGTCAGGAGACACACGCGCGCGCATGTTTTAGTAGTTATTTCAGTAAAACCAACAGCCATTTAAAAACTGGAAATCGGCTTCCAGGGAGGAGACATCTAAATAGACTTCTATTGTTCTAGGAAAGCAACTGGAGAGGCTCCTTTCTATTGACAAAGTGGGGCAAGTGGACACAGCATTCTAGGACAGGGTGGAATGAGCCATGTATTTGAACAGAAAAAGGACCACCCTATTCCCTGGAAAGGAAGTGATTTGGGGTTTGGGGGTCGTATTTTGTTTTGTTTTTTTCATCTTGAGGTTCTACCCTATTGAAAAATCTTTGCAACGCCTCTCATAGACTCAAGGAGGATGTCAGGAAAACCTAGGAGCCTCCAAGGCGACATGTCTAGAGAAGCAGAAACCTGGTTGAGTGAGAGATAGCCCTAGGCACAGCAAGTGGCTAATGCTTCTGACTCCTTTTGACTTCCATTCCCCTGGCAAGATGAGTATATCTTAGAAGAAATGGCTGTGTTCAGTTGTATATGCACACACATACTTGTACATAACTGGGTACACATCACACAAACACATGCACACATCCTCAAACAGCCATGTACATAAAGACCTGTGCAGGGTGAGGGGTCTTCACAGCTGACTCTTGGAAGCCTTATTCTCCCCTATACATACCCAAAGCAAACACTACCAGAGCAGAGGGACTCTTAGCAAACACCAGCACCCCTTGTCTGAGACTAGCCTGAGATCAGCAGCACCACTGGCCCACACCTGCAATAACAGGAGAAAACAAGCCCCCAGACCCATGTGATCCATTTGTCTGACCTGGACATGTTTTTCCCTTCTCAGTGGTACTTGTTGATCCACTTCAAGGAACGACAACAGGGTTTAGAAACTAGTTGGGATGTCATCTTCCTTGGCCCTGACGTATTTGGAGCTTGAGGCAGTCAGAGCACCATTGCCATTGTGCCACCTAAATATTATCATGGGCAGCATGACCTGAAAAGGACTAGGAACCAGGCACCTTTGCTACCCAAGTTTTGCCCTCAAACTTTTAGGTCGGCATCCCTGCAGGACCGCAGACCCCACTTCATCCTGCAGAATCAGAAGTTGCCTTGTAACAAGACCACGGGGATTCATAGTATCTGAGTCTGAGGGCCCCTGCTATGGACAGAGCTCCACTAAGTGACTTCTAGATTAGTTTTCTGAGGCCACCATGGAAAAGGGTTCAAGAGAGGATGCTGATCACAACATGCAAAAGTGAGGCCCAGATTCATTTAACCCAAAGGTCAAAGGCAGTAAGACCTCTGAACCCCAACCTGAGTAGTGCTAGTTAAGGTCAGATGTTGGGGACTCTCCTGTCCTCTCAGGTAATGTACATATTCATCAAAAACTGGTCCACACCTCAGCCCTATCTTCCAGAGAGCACAAAGCACACCAGGGTGGGCCATCTCCAGGCCCTTCCTCCCCAGCCATCATTAAAGAAATCACCCAAGAGATGGGAGTTACCCTTGGGCAGAGAAAACATACTTCCACTTCCTTCAGCTTCTTAGCTTTTCCCTTCTGATGACTGTTGAATGTGAAAGAGGAGTTAATGGAAAGCTTCAAACTGTCTAAACCAATTTTCACTACCTGAGAAAAGAGGAGGGGGAGGAAGAAAGAAGTCCATGTCTAGCACAGACAGGCACCCAGACCGCTGTCTCCAGGTCCCTCTATTCTCTGACCATACAATAGGCATTGTGCCCATAAGCACCCACCCTATCCCAAAAGGAAGGCAGCACTTGGGTGGCTGAGGTCAGCTCATAACGAATTCCGAAGCATCTCAGAGGCTGCAGAGTTTTAGCCTTGAATGACACTGGGAGGCATAGCCAAAAAGAGCAGGCTCCACTGGGGGCATCTGCATTATCTATCCTTTGTTCCTCGCAAAACCTTGTGACGGATGCACTGAACCAGGGTTTTAAAATGTTCGTTTCTAAGCCAGGTGTGGTATCACACACTTTTAGTCCTAGCACTTAGGAGGCAGAGGCCAAGTGAATCTCTGTGACTACAAGGTCAGCTTGGTCTACATACCAAGTTCCAGGCTAGCCAGGGTTACATACTAAAACCCTGTATCAAAAGTAAATAAATAAATAAAAAACAAAAACTTAAAAATAAAAATAAAATCTGTGTCTCATCATTTATTTTTATTTTGTTTTTTAACTTACTTATTCTTTTTTAATTATTTATTTAATAACAACATAGAAGAAGCATTTCATTACAACAGCATTGACATATTCAGTAACAATTTCCAGAGCTAAGATATATCTCTTTCAAAATTGACTGTAAATTTTTAGGTTCACAGTTGAATTAATACAGTTATACAATATTGAACTCTGTATAAAGCCCATAAGACATAAAATTGAATGAGGTTTTAACCTTTAAGAAACATCTGCATTTCATTTTAAAATATATTGTTTCATACAGAAAACAATATCATTTTTAATGCTACCAACACTTAGATGTTTGCATATGCATCTCTAATCTCTATGTACCTGAGTACGTCTGCACATGCATTTCTAATCTCTATATATCTGATTATTACTGGTCACAGTCAGTTACTTTCTGAGCTCCTTGGCATCTGAGCATGGATATAAAGTTATCAGGTAGATTTCAATGGTAATGTTTTTCACATCTATTAATTATTAAGGAGCAAATTTTTATGCTTTAAAGAATTATTATTTTTTAATCTTTTTTTTTTCAATTTTAGGACTTATCTTCACACAGGCAGAACTGGTAAAAGAAAGGAGCCAGGGGCTCCTCCTGAGCCCATGTGACTCCTGAGGAACAGATCCTCAAATGGCCTTAAGAGT